CCATTTCTCAATATCGGTCCTCGCTTGTAGCCAGTAGAATCTCGGCCGAACCTTATTCAGAGTTTGTTGAAACCGAAGTGACCTCCCGACGGTACACCGTGTAGTTCGCTCAGAACGTCCTTCACCCTGCTCCGAGGAATAATTATCTGGGCTACTTGACGTCTTCCGTTGGCGGATTCCCAGTTGCACTCTAGTACGCCGTTTCTCACAGCGAGCAATTTTCACTGGGCCCAGTAGCTTTTGTACGTGGGACTCCGATCCGCGATGTCCTGCCTTATCGCCTGTTGGCCGTTTTCTAATTCATGTAGAATAGGCCCTATGCCTTGGTCTTTTAGCTGTTCCTCTCTTAGGGTAACCGAGTCCCAGTCGGCTGCCGGTAGGGTTCTAATAGCGCGTATTTGTTTTACCTCTGCCCGCGTCTCAACTTTGTGGCAGTGCGCACATTGCTATTGGCAGGGTCGTCTAGAAAGGGCGTCGGCGTTATGTTTGCAGCCCTGACGATGCTCCGAAGAAAAGTTGTACTCTTGCATACGCTGTATCCAGCGCGCAGTTTGTCCAAGTTCTTAAACTCATAAGCCAGGTAAGCGCAGAGTGGTCCGTTCGCAGATGGAACTGTTGTACGTAGAGGTACTTTTGGAAATGTTCCAGTGTCCTCACTATGGCAAGTAGTTCTCGACGGGTGACGCAGTAGTTTCTCTCTGCTTTGTTTAGCGTCTTTCTGAAGTAAGCTATGGCACGCTCTTGTCCGTCCTGTATTTGAGAGAGAACTCCTCCAATTCCGACATTACTTGCATCTGTGTCCACAATGAATTTCTCTCCTGGCTGTGAGTAGGCAAGAATAGGGGAAGTACATAGGGCATCCTTTATTGTTTGAAAAGCGGCCTCCACTTCTGGAGTCCACAGGAAAGTTTGTTTCTCTTCCGTTAGTTTCGTTAGTGGTATCGCAATGTTGGAAAACCCTGAAATAAATCGCCTGTAATATGCGCATAGTCCCATTCTCGCACGGCTTTCAATTTTTCCGGGTCGGTGGATATACCTTCTGGTGATACAATATGACCGAGGTACCTGACCTCTTTCTGCAGAAGTTTACACTTTTCCGAGTTAAGTTTCAGACGGGCTTCCCTGAACCTCTCTTCCTAAGTGGTCTGCAGGTAGATAGGGGTAGTCACGAAGGGCAAGCAGTTCAATGGCCGTGGCAAACTCTTGCAGGGATTCTCCAGGTTTCTGCATCCTTTTTCTTAACTGGCAGTTGTAAGCAGCTACAAAGTGTTGGTCCCTGAAACGGTCCTCCAGTGCCCGAAGTGTTTCCTCGTAAGTCGTATTTGTCGGAATGCCGGGTAGTACTTCCGCCGCCCGATCCTTCAGGGCAGTAATTAGGTATGTCGATTTTTCTTTGTCCGACCATTGGTTGTGTTCTGCTACGGTCTCGAACTGTCGCCGGAACACGCTCCACGTTGAATTGCCGTTAAACGTCGGTGGCTGAGCTGTGCCCGCCCTGATTGTGGGTGTAATTCCCCGCTCGGCCCTTGTCTGTACTACTTCCAACCGGGCCTGGAAATGGCGTTTGGTTTCTTCAATTGCTGCACAGGTTTCGTTAGTTCTTCCCGGAGATTTCGTTTGTCATGTTCGAAGATCGCGAAAATGTTTTCAATTCTATGTTGGATTGTGTCATCCAAATCTGATCGCATAGACCGCATTGCAGCCTTCATTTCTTCCTTCTCGGTTTCGATTTTCCCTCGCAGTTTTTCTTGGCCGACTCTCCTCTCCTCTCGGTCGGCATCCATTATGGCCAGCAACTCTTTATGGCCGGTTTTTCTATCTGCCTCCGTCTTTTCTTGGTAGGATTTCATGTTGGCGTCCATTCTTGCCAGCATTTCTTCTTTGTCGGTTTTTCTATTGGCCTTCATTTCTTCCTTGTTAGACTCCATTTTCGCGAGTAGGCATTGGCACAATTTTTCCATCTCCATCATGTGGCAGTATAAATTCTTTCAATAGTTCGTCCTAAATTAAGGCGTGATGAAGTTCGTAAATAATTCTGACACCAGTGTAACGTGTCTTGCGTTCGAATCTTGTTGGTCACGTGTGTAAGTCCAATCCCACTTCTGACACCAGTGTAAAGGGTTTTGTTATTGAAGACGCCGTTCGGGTTGATTGGTTTATTTAACAACCTACAAGTCTCCGCTACAATTAATTATGACAAAGTTGCAGGGTTTTACACTTTATAACCTCATTCGCAGTAATTTGTTCACACTGTTGCGGGGTTTCACACTTTATAACCCCATTCGCAGTAATCCCTTCACACTGTTCAGTAGTCCTCGCGTATTCACAGTACGGGAGCTATATAAGTGTCACTGTGTTACACACTCCCAATTACTTCTCATTTATAACAAACTATTACTGATTATCAAAAGCTTCCGGTTCTTCTAAATTTTCACGTGTTGGGTAGGTCACGCGACAAATAACTTCACGCCGTATTGGATATAGCGAATTTATTGCACATTCGCTCTTACAATCACACAATTTACAGATTCACAACTACTGCTATCTGCAGTATCACAAATACTATACTGCATACTCTTCCCTGGCCAACTCGTAATTCGTAACTAACTGCTGGCTAGATTCCAACTCAACTCGTAGGCTGCTGACTTGAGAACTGTCTTCGGCGGCTGTGTAGTTCCCTTATAAACCCTCACCCGGACAACAGAAAAACAGTTACGTAATAGGCATCACTGTTGTCTGACGCCATGTTTGCCTGTTACGTAATGGGTATCGCTGTTATTACCGTCGTCTCTAGCAACAACTGTTTACCTGCTTTGCTTAGCAACCGCTGTTTACGCGCTTTGCTTAGCAACCGGTGTTTACTCCCTTTGCATAGCGACCAGCGTGCTGGGACTCGGCTCACTTCGGCTCCGTTCGGCACGTCACGGCTAGCGGGGAGGGAGGGGCGTCATCCATAGCGCAACACTTCACACTACTCCCTCCTTAAGGCTGTTCGTCCCGAATAGCCTAACGTTGCACCCCCGTTCCGTTTCTTCCAAGAATGTGCTTGGTGGGTCTCCTGTTGTTTCGGCTACTACTCGCAGCGACTATTATCTGGCCGTTACATCCGCTCTCCTCTTGAGACAAAGCTCGTCTCGAGCGGTTCCCTCTTAACTTGCCAGAAGATCCAGTTGTATCCAATTAACTCATTCACTTTCTCCCATGGCACATTCACTCTCTCTGGTGAGGCCGGTTCTTCTATTTTACCGGCTGCTCCTCAATCCGTTTTTTTTCCGCTTTGGAGTGGGCCTACCCCTCCATAAGTTCCAATTCTTCATCCTTAATTTCTTCAGAAGTTTCTTATATCGACGTAGCAGCAAATGAAGTGTGGTTTGAACTTGCTGACGTCGTCGTTCCTTGTGTTCTTCCCGCCACTTACTGGCACGAGACCGTGGCGCCAAGTCCTTTCTCTGGCATCCGAAGGTTCCCAGGGGATTTTCCTTCTGGAAGGCATTTCTCCAACGTCATGCGATGGGATGTCTTCCTGCAGGTGGCAGCCAACTTCATCCGGGATTCATAATCTTCTCGGGTCCAACATTTCCTGAAGATGTTCCTCCGACGCCATGACACTGTTGCATGGCGGGACACAGTCCTGCTGGTTTTCTTCTGCCGTGCCACTTCCACGCGGCAGCTCGTCGCTCTGCGGGCTACGGCCAACTCCTTCTGGTGTCCACAATTTCCCCGTGTCGAATTCTTCATATTTCGCTGGTTTCGGTCCATACGCCTTTTCTCCTTCGGTTCTCCGACCGGCATTACTTCGGCGTCTTCTATAGGTACCTCTCGTTCTGCCGCCTCAGGTTTCCTGTCCACTGAGGCCGGCTCTTCTTCTTCTGAATGTGCCTCCATTTCTTGGCAGGCCATCGTCACTCTGACCGGTATTACTATGGGGACCTCTTGTTGTTGTGCCGCCACAGGTTTCGTGTCCACTGTGGCCGGCTTTTTCTCTTCTAGACGTATGGCGGCCGTCCTTACTTCAATGGCTCTTGTTCTTGCTTAGGTAGCTTCTCTTTCTGTGGCCATCATTTCTCGCCAGGCGGCCATCTCTTCTCGCCAGGCTTTCGAGTCGGCATCTGCTTTTGCTTGGTTTGCCCTCATCTTTTTCAGCATTTCCTCTTTGTCTTTCTTCCTATTGGCCTCCATTTCTATCTTCTCGGTTTTTCTATAGGCCTCTGCCTTCGCCTGGTTGGTTCTAATTTCCTTCAGGAGAAGTTCCATCATCTGCTGCATCTCAATTTTGTAGCAGTAAAATACTCGATGCACAACAATTTGTTTGTGGCGTGTTTAAGTTCGATCCCACTTCTGACACCAAATGTAACGTGTTTCTTTACTGAAGACGCCGTTCGAATTGTTAATTGGTTTATTTAACAACCTACAAATCTTGGCTACAATTGATTATAACAGTGTTGCGGGGTTTCACACTTTATAGCCCTATTCGCAATAATCTCTTCACTCTGTCCTCAGTAGTCTACACGTATTCACAGTACGGGAGTTATATAAGTGTCACTGTGTTACACACTCCCAATTACACACGCGTCCCGTTCTTTCCGCGCCTGCTGCTAGATTGCAATTGTGTTACTCCGGCTCACACACTCACTCCTGATCACACACTAACTCTCGCTTGCTACTCAGCCGGCTTTTATTTCGTTCGCTGTTGCTTGTTGCCCGTGTCAACAGCGGCGTTGCGTGCCACGTCACAGTGCGGGGGGCGGAGTGGTGACTCACCTGCTACGTCACCGCTTGGGAGGGAGGGGGTGTGTAATTGTGTAATTGGGATTGTGTAATACGGAGAGACTTGTATATCTCCCGTACTGTGATCACGTGTAGACTACTGAGGACAGCGTGAAGAGATTTGTGTATAGGGTTTGTAAAGTGTGGAAACCCGTAACATTGTTATAATTAATTTTAGCCGAGACTTGTAGGTTGTTAAATAAACCAATTAACAATCCGAACGGCGTCTTCAGTAGCAAAACACGTTACAATATTATGCTTTTCCCTTTAAACATGGTAGACCAGTCACATAATATTATGATTTTAGGACACGTTATGTTGCAATACACTATACCTTGCTCTGGTGCCACACAGATGCGTAACTGGAGTGTAACAGACCTCCGAATGTTTGCTTAGTAGACAGTAACATGGCCTCGCTGTTTTCCTATTCCACTCCAAAGGAAAATGCCTTTTTTCGTCTTCAAGCTGTATGTACCAGGCAGTAAGTTAGCAGTGCAATATGGATCAAGGACAAAAGTGGTTGAAGACCAAGCGATCTCTTGGAGAATATCTGACTTGTTCTCCGATGAGCTATCTGACGTCCCTTGTGAGATGTGTAGTGATAGTGACTCAGACAGTGGCAGTGGCAGTGACAGGGGACAACAAAGAATTGTGGCCACAGACAGTAAAAGTGACAGCAGCTCAGACAAAAATGCAGGTAATAACATTGCGGGGACAGCCACATGGGGAAAAGTAGACAAAACGCCTAATTTGGGACAGTTTACTAGAAATCCGGGGGTGAAACAAATTCCATCGGAACCAATTCAAGTATCTGAAGTAGGAGAACTGTCTTTTTGGAGATAGTTTCTTTGACATGTTATGTCAGGACACTAATAAATACTATCTCCAACGCCGTGAAAGAGTATGACAGATGTTATAAGGTATTGAAGTGGGTGGATGTCACTTCAGCAGAAATGAAAAAAAAACTGCAATAATCTTTCTAATGGGGCATACAAGGAGGGATAATCTAAAACAGTATTGGTCAACAGATCCATTTTTAGAAATTCCCATTTTCGGCAAACTAATGAGCCTTAGAGATTTGAACAAATTTGCTGGTATTTGCATTTCAATAATAATGAACTGCAACCACAATCAACAAGCAGGTTTTTCAAAATTCAGCCCTTATTAAACTTTTTCCTTCAGAAATTTAAGACAGTTTATAAGCCAAACCAACAACTGTCTTTGATCGAATCTGTGATTCCTTGGATGGTAAGGCTTCATATGTGAACATATTGTCACGTGTTTTGTTACTGAATCCTGTTGGTCATGTGTGTAAGTCCAATCCCAATTCTGACACCAGTTGTCACGTATTTAGACACTGAAGACGCCGTTAGGATTGTTAATTGGTTTATTCAACAACCTACAAGTCTCGGCTACAATTAATTATAACACTGTTACGGGTTTTCACAATTTACAACCCCTATTCAATATTCAATTCACTCTGTCAGTAGTCTAAACGTTTTTATAACGCGGGAGTTATACAAGTGCAACTGTATCACACACTCCAAATTATTACTCGGTTATCACGAACTATCACTGATTCTCACACACGCGTCCGCAACTCGTAATTCGCCGCTGGCTAGATTCCAACCAACTCGTAGGCTGCTGCCTTGAGAACTCGTTCACTGCTGACTTGAGAACTCTCTTCGGCGGCTGATACACTTTACTCGTTCACTGCGGACTGGAGAACTCACTTCGGCGACTGATGCACTTAACTGACTTCGGCGGCTGTGTAGTTCCCTTATAAAGTCGCAGCGCCCGCCTGTTACGCAATGGGTACCGCTGTTGTCTGTTACCCGTGTCACAGCTGCGTTGCGTGTTATGTCAGCGCGGGGAGTAACGACAGCGCTACGATGCCGCCACGTACCGGTGGGGGGAGGGGTCCTCCGTTGCGCAACATGTCACACTATAATCCTACTTGTTCATGTAGTTACTGAAAGCATTTCAGGCTATATTGGAAATTTAGACATTTATTCTGGAGAAGGCAAAAAATTACAAGAAACTATTGTTTCCGTTTTGGAACCCTATCTTGATCAAAATTAACATGTATATCAAAAAAATCATTATAACAGTATGGTACCTGCAGAATACCTTCTTTCGAGAAAAGTATGTGTTTGTGGAACAACTAGGGTGAGCAGAGGCCTTCCTCCAGATCTAAAAGTGGAATCTAAATCCCTGAAACGTGGAGAAACCACATTCAGGAGGAAGGGGGATATTCTTCTTCAGTCCTGGAGGTATACTCGTGTTGTGAATATGATTTCCACAATTCACAATTGGAGCATGGTTGATGTTCAAAGGAGACATGGACAAGTAAAGAAGCCTGTTTGTATTTCTGAGTATAATATGTTCATGAAAGGAGTTGATAGAGCAAATCAATACTTGGCCTATTATTCTCTTCCTAGGAAAACAATAAAGTGGACAAAAAAATTGCCTTGTGGCTTATAAATTGTGCCATTTTCAATTTATTGTTGGTTTACAAAAATCTAAACCCTGATTCGAAATTGAAAATGTGGCAAAGGCCTGGGCTACAGACCAGATGGTGGCGACAGAACCAGAGTCAGACACAGACTTAGTGCGACTGGGGCCATCAACTACCAAACTATGCAGGCCTCATGTGGACCCCCCTGGGCGACTCTCGGGTGATATGCGGAAACATACCCTCGTGAAAATTGTGAAGAGGGAACATTCCAAGGGGAAGCATCCTTCTAGGCAATGCCATGTTTGCACAGTTCACAAAAAAAAGACTATGACTGTCTACATTTGCAAGTGTGTAATGCCACTTCACAAAGGGGAATGTTTACAGAAATATCACACTCTCAAGCACTTCTAGGATCAGTGGTAAGTGTTCTCCAAAAATTTTAGTTCATAAATTTTTTTATAATTTTATATTAATTTGTAAGTGAACAGTGCACAAGTTAGGGTAGTAGGTTTAAAAATGCTAGTCCCCAGGGTGATATAATATTTAAATTGACGGTCTGCAAAGTGTTAAGAAAATTAGAAAACCACACTAATGCACTAGCAATGAACCTGAAACTACACAGACTGAAAACATACACTGTCCTAACACTATACCAAACAGACCTGAGTAAAACCCCAATACAAGAATTAAAATTATGCCTAAGTGAACAAGAAGAAAAGGTATATTCGTTAGGTCACTGGGCATTACTCGCTCATGAGCCAGTACCTATTAAACATATACATTTGTTGCAGATTATGTGTAATAAATGTGTGAAAAAGAATTAGGATTGTTCTGGTACTAACACTGTTCCAGCTCGTAAAATAAAATTTAAATTTATGGATCCTGGTGTTCCACTGCCCCCGGAACCCATCATCACATGGTGAGGAACGTGGATTGATGCTACAATTTACTAATACTAAAATTTTTAGGCAGTGAAAAACATTGTATATTCAAGGAAGACAGAAGATGCAAGGGCAACTGAAGCTGATCAGGGTACAGTTCTCGTGCAACGAAATGGAAGGACATCTGACATTCATAAAGGCAAATTTCGGTTCCTTGATGGAAGGAATCAAACGCTTAAATGATAAAGGAGCAATGCTAGAAGACTCGCTCGCTCTCTTGAAAAAAAATAGCGAGTGATTTGGAGAAAGTGTCAGGGGATATTGTTAAAATAGTGTAAAAAATGAAAAATGTTATAGATAAAAACTCAGGTTATGAAACATTATGCAGCATTTCTTGAATTCTGACAGGATAGTCCTTCAGCACTTTCAATATTGAAGAGAAACTTACTGCTAGTGATTTTGTACACTTCAAGTATGCCCCCATTGTGTCTGCAGATGTGGAAAGGAGTTTCTCCAAGTACAAGATGTGCTGTCAGACAACAGGCATTGTCGAGAATCTCCGCATGTTAACCGTCATCTATTGAAACTCTGAATGAGGTGACAAATATTGGAATATATACCGTATATGTACATTTGATGAGCGTTACAAGATGGTAGAAAAAATGTATCAAAACGTTTAGCTTCAAATTCAAACATATATTGCTGAATTTTCAATATAAAAACGAGATGAACTTAAAAGTGTTAATAAGGACTAAAAATACATTTTAAAGCAATTTCCATGACATGAAATATTTTAGGTTGTTTTTTAACTTTTAGGTAATTTTTCTGGATTTTTTCGATCATTTTATAGGCCATTTTTTACATATTTTAGGTCATCAAAATTCAGGCCCTACTTACGACTCACCTTTCTGCTACTAGATCAGTTACACTATCAGAAGTAACTGGTTGGCCCATTTGGACTTAGTACCTATTTAGTTCCAAAATATTGTATTTTGTCAAGAGGTGGTTCATTTTATATTCCAGTAGTCAGTGCAACTAAAATGAACCGATGCTACACCCGTCTTCACCCTACCACCTACCACCATCGTGAAGTCGGGAGCGGTTCATCGTTACAGGCTCTCGTGTCGTGTTTACAATACTCCCTAAGGTCGTCGCAGGGAATCCAAGCTGGCAGCAGAGGGCCTTACTGAAGTTAATGACTGATCAAATAACAATAACAAGGTTTAATAAACACAAAACACAATATAACTCACTACAAGAATATACAAAATATACAACCCAATAGACATGGCTGATTTGCCCTATACTGATCCACACTTCGCGGCATCAACTCAGCGACATGCCCAGTTCCACTGTCCCACCGACATTATGTACCGAAGTCACTTCCTGATCAGCCACAGGCAGCCACAGGCAGCCACAAAGAAAATAAATATATCTAACAAAACAGGTCAGCCACAGGCAGCCCCAAGAATATATATATATATATATATCATCATCATCATCATCA